AGTCCAAGGATGGAGTATTTGTTGATGATTACACCATAAAGGCGAAGTAGAGCTCTTCCTAAAAGCAGAGAACTACACCCAATTTATGCTACAAAAATTGGAAAATCATTATAAGAATTTTGAGATCCCCTGTGGAACTCAAGGAACAAATACATTTAGTTCCAAAAAAGGCTATAAACAAACTCAGCAGTGAGTGGTAGCTATGTGTTCCCACTAGTGAGGAGGACATTACCCATAGTGACAGATGAGAAAAATAGACACACACCAGATATAATTAATTGCCTAAGGTTACATGGCCATGAGAGGCCGGTTGAAAGAGCAAGCCAGGGCTTCCTGGTTCTGCAGCCAGCACCCTGTGCCACCTTTATCCAGCCATTTTTTTCCTGATTTTTTTTTTTTTTTTTAAGTACAGTACAATGTTTACATTCCTTGTGAGGATCCAGTACATATACTACATTATATATTTTAATTTATTTTTCATCCTTTCCTTCCCAGCTGAAAGAGAGGGATCTGTCACTTCCTCTGGCTCTAATCTGCTAGCAGGAGGAGGCACACTTCCAGCTAGGATGAATGTGATTTTTTTTTTAAGCCTGGCCTCAGAAGGCAAATTTTTCATTCCTCTCAGGCTAAAGAAGTTTTCTCCAAAGAGTTACAGTTGGGCTGCAACACCTCGCTGCCTACCAAGTGAAACTGTGCTCATGTCACTGTGGACATGTGGCCAAGAATGTGTTTCAGAACTTGCTAATGACTGCTGAAATCCACTCAGTACATGTTTATGTGCCAAACACCGTGCTCACTCAGGATGTAAAGATGCAGAAGAAAGCAGGGCTCAGAATCCAGGGGACAAAGTAACCATGTAGATGAATCAACCTCAAGTAGGGCATACAGCACTGTGACACACACCCCATTTCCCTGCCCAGAGAGGAAGGGCTTCTATGGCAGAGGGGTGCTTTGGTGAGGCTGGGAAGGGAGGTGGGTGCTTCCACTGGTGGGCACAGCGCATGCAAAGCAGCATGGTGAGAGCTATGGGGGCCCCTTTGTAGGAGGGCAGCTGAGGGCTATGTATGATGGGGAGAAGGTTGGGGACTGAGGGGCAAGTAGCTGGCCCAGGCCACGCTGGTAGGCCTTACATGCTAAGTTAAGGGTTTGTCACTGCTATGAGGGTGGACTCGGTTCTTGGGTGTCACGAGTTGGGAGTGCTGAGCACATGTCCGGGAATGATGAGGCATGAGTAGGAATATGGAGCCTCACTGAAGAGTGTGGGGCTCACACAGCAAAAGAGGGTTTAGGACAAGCAAGCTGGATTCACCTGTAAACAGAGATCTAGGGTTTGGCCTGGGCAGAAGGACACAGCCTTGAATAGCTGGGTTGAGTGGACCTCACCCCAGAGGAACAACTTCTGGCAGAAGCTGGGAAGGGACAGGCAGCAGCTTATGATCACTTCTGGAGGCAGTGGTTCTGTGCCCATCTTATATTCTCTGGGTTAAGGCATCTATTCAGCAAGAAACAGTTTGGCAGTGGGCGACAGACCAGGATGTGCTCAGAGGAAAATCCTTACATAAACATCCAAAAATCCAGTGAAGTTCTCTTCTCCTGGGGTCTAGCTGTTCCTCTGGTTCTCATCTCTTGGTCTGAACACCACAGCAAGTGAAGGCAGCTGCTGGCAGTCAGCACCCACGTTTATGGGCTTTGATACATCAGTATGCGAGCAGCTAGCTGTTCTGCCGGCAGTAATGCCCCGCACAAAGGGCCCAGTGAGCCCTGTCCTGGCCTTCCCACGGCACGCCCTCCCCACCCCCTTCTCCATCCACTGCTCTGGATTCTGTCACTGGGGCCCAGCTCTTTGTCGAGATCTGAGTGGACTTGGCATCTGTGTAGCCCTGGGATTAGGGGTTTGGTTGGGGGCCGGGCAGTCTACCCTTTCTGAGAGGGTGGTTGATCCAGCAGCCTTGTGGGAAAACTGGGAGTGCCCCACGGAGACATGATTCTGCTGCACCTGTGACCTTCTGCTGAAGTCTTGGAGTGGGACACTGGAAAGTGTCCAAGAACTGAGGAGCCATCCCTACCGGTATTGAGTTGGAATCCTTAGTCGCCCAGGGAGAGATGCAGAGAAACCGCTTTCCTATGGCTTCCAGCATCTCTGGATTCTTTCCTAATTCACTAGGGAAAACAGACTCAGAAAGCAGGAGTGAGCAAACCAATTTACTCGCTATTCCAAAGTGCCTTTTAGAGTATTTTGAGTCCCAGCAGGAGCTGAGACTTGGTGGCAGAAACAGAGCCTCTCTCTGGTCATCAGGCTACCAGCTGCAGGTGAGGCCTCTTGGGGCCAGACTGATAGCACCCCTGTGACCCAAAACTTGGCTGGGATGTCCCCAGGACCTTGAAAGCCCGCCATGCAGATAGTGTGAGTATTCTGGCTGTCAGTCGGGGAATGCCTCGACACCTGCACTTACCGGGCCCCCAAAACTTGGGAGACTCAGTTCTCTTTCCTTACTGTGTCCCATGATGCAGGCCAGTCTGTGTGGGATGGTTATGCTCATAGATGGACACTTCCTGGGGTCTCCCAGTAATTAAATATTGTGACTTTCAGCCCCAGTCATTCCTTTGTAGTTGATTCCAGACCCACAGATGCTGCATGGGCCAACAGGCTTTATCTAACAAGCCCAGCAAGCGAGGGAGTGACTAGGGAGTGACAGCTTCCATCAAGCCACTGTTTCTCTCTGGGCCCTGAAGAGGGATGAGTCTGGTTCCTCAGAGACTCCATTCTGCCTTGCCATGCATCCTGGGTGCCTAGTTAGGCACATTCATTGCTTCCTTCCCATCTACATATTCAGAGTATTCCTAGCATAAGGCAAAAATGATTTGAGGAAGCTTCTGGCCACCATTTAGAGGTTTCCCCACGAGTGTCTATCCCATCCACTGTGGGAGGTTTTGCAAACAGAAAACCGTAAACCTGTTCTTGGCAAGCTCCACCCCCACTGCTGTGGGACCTTGGCCAAATTTGCAGTCCCTCCCACCCCATCCTGTCCTCTCCCTGGTGAAATGATGATGCCTACTTCTGGGGTATATAAAGGAGACACTTGTGGTGGTGCCCAGCCTTGTGCTGGTACACAGCTACCTGGAAGCTGCTAAATCTGTGTTGTCCGTGGGTTTTAGTACTGGGTGCGTCCAGTCTTGTCTCCTAACCTTGAGTACCTCCCTAGGCCTTGGGCCTTGAAACACAGCCTTGAGCTTGTTTTTGTTGGTCTCTTCCCCCTTGCCTCCTTATCTTCACCCCACACAGAGATGGTGGTGAGGTAGGGCCAGTCCAGAGTGCCTGCACCCTGGATACTGGTACTGGGCTCAGCTTACCTCTCCAGAAGCACCTCCTGGGAAAAGTCTTGGCCAGTGAGGTTGGCCAGGGCAGTGAAGTTTGTCATTAGGGAGAGCTTTCTCCAGTACCCAGGGAGTTGGGTGTTTCCTAATGTTTCAGAGTCAGGGTAAAACCCTTTGAGAAGTAAAGATCCCAGGGTAATAGGTAAATAGAGACTGTTTAGAAGTATTTATTTCTAGAGTTCTCAAAAATATCACTCAACTGAATTCATGCACCTACAATATATGAATGGCAATGGAATACCCATCTCTGACAAGTAAACAAAAAAGGGGGATATAAGTGAAGGCCCATTTTGTAGTGGAAAAATATATACGTATATACAAAATAATTAGCATAGATATATAGCTACTTTTTCTTAGTTCAATGAGAGTTTTGAACTAACAGTGTTTGGACAAGATACCATGTCTGCATCTTGTTCTATGAATAACTACTACAAAGACAATATGCAATGCATTAATTATTATAACTGTCCTACTAACATGTTTTGAAACTGTCTCATTGCTACTTCTTTTGCAATTAAATTAATTTTTAAAAAGATTACTCAAATAGTGCCTAGAAAAGCAAGCTTTTCATGACTTTTTAAATATTACCCTTTTACAACCCAAATGATAGAAAAATGACACTAGGTAACAGCGGCTACTAGCTCACTTTTAGCTTTATATTGAGCTGAGAAGCCTTTTGGAAAATGATGATACCCAGGTGCAGGTGTGCTGGGCCATTTGGTGGATGGGCCAGGCATGGATGTCTGGAGAGTGGGGAAAGCGCCACCTAGGAGAAGCACTTTCCCATGGAGCTTCCTTGGCACATACTGGCATCTGCTGCATCTCTAGGGCCTACTACAAGCACCATGGGCAGTTGCATCAAGACCAGGCCCTTGCTCTCATGGCTGCCAGTTTCTAAGACATCCCATGAAAAGTTCCAAAGTTAGAAACACTTTTGCTTCAAGTCTGTCCATGTGTATAAGATGTTTCACAAGATAGTGACTCTCCTTAAGGCCTCAGGGCCATGGACTGGTTGGGCAGTATGTGGCTGCGAGAACTTTCCAGAAGTGGGTTGGAACACTGGACAGGGGCAGGGTTCAGATGTGTTTGTGAACAGATCTCAGGTGTCTGCCCATCTCTTCTACAGCAGGAAAGGAGCTCTGTCGTCAGGCTGGCAGGTGCTTGCCACCCTGGCACCTTATGCCAGAAGTGCCACCTTACCACTGTGTCCAGCCCCACATCCAGCACAGTGTTTAGTAAATCTGCTGATGAATGGCTTTGAAATGGAAGGGTGAAGTATTCTGCAGAGGAGGTGGAGGAGAGAAGGATAGACAAAAAGAAAGAGGTCTATAAGAACCATGTAAACTTGAGTGATTCCTGTGTCTCTCTTTGAAGCCCCTCTCCTCAGAGCCCTATGGATGATAAGAGACTATAAATCTTAGGAAACCAAGCTCAGTGCCCCCAAGTGTCAGTACACCTTTCTCTATTCCATGGAGTTTAGGAGCTTGCTGGTCCCATGGTCTCTTCCTCTGTGGGCTACTTCAGGCTTCTACTGTGCAGAAAATTGTAACCTGGCTATTCCCCTGGGTGATTGGGAGGCCCTAGCTTGCCACAACCATGGTGTCACCTCTTTCCCTTCTGCACAGGCATCATTTGATGTGTCGGTAGAGGCCTGGAGCTGCCCCAGCAAACACACCGAGCACACATTCACCCTGAGACCTGTGGGATTCCGAGACAGCCTGCGGGTGGTGGTCACCTACAACTGCACATGTGGCTGCAGCACCAGGCTAGAGCCTGACAGCACCAGGTGCAGTGGGAACGGAACCTACGTCTGTGGCCTGTGTGAGTGCAACCCCAGCTACCTGGGCACCAAATGCGAGTGCCAGGAGGGGGAGAACCAGAGTATATACCAGAACCTGTGCCGGGAGGCAGAGGGCAAGCCGCTGTGCAGCGGGCGCGGCGAATGCAGCTGCAACCAGTGCTCCTGTTTCGAGAGTGAGTTTGGGAAGATCTACGGGCCTTTCTGTGAGTGTGACAACTTCTCCTGCGCCAGGAACAAGGGTATCCTCTGCTCAGGTAGGTGTCTGTAGGCAGGCCTTTGCTTTGAGCCGGCCCTGGGCCTACGTGCTGTTAGGACCTCCCCCTCCCCAAGCTTGCCTTTTCTGTGGTGGTGGTGGTGGTGGAAAAAGCAGGACCACAGTTGCCTCGGGCAGAGCCCTTGGACAAGCCTTGCCCCTGTGGGCACAGGGGTGGGCACAGGTTTAGAGACAAACTCAGAGGGCACTGCCTATGGCCAGACTCCAGCAGAGGACATCACCCAGCTGACCTCCCAGTTAGTGCAGAGTTGGTGGCCAGCCTGCCCCTTGTTGCCTCCTGGACAGGGAGATCACAGGGTCTGGCGACAGCCGTCCTTATACCAAACATTGTATTCTTTTCTTACTGCCGCACTAACACTGTAAATTTAGTGACTTAAGATAATCCAAATGCATTCTGTTCCAGTTCTACAGGTCAGAAGACTGTACTGGATCTCTGACTAAATTAAGTTTTCAGCAGGGTTCATTCTTTCTAGAAGCTCTAGGATCTTGCTTCTTTCCCAGCCATGAGAGGTTGCCTCCACTCTTGGGTTTGTGCTTCTTCCTCTGCTTACAGAGTCAGCCATGGAGTATCCTTGGGTATTTTCCTGAGTGTAACTTTTGCTTCTGTTATCACATTCTCCTCTGAGGCCTCCTTCTTGCATAGTCCCTTGTGGTTCTGCAGGACATGCAGGATGACCCAGGAAAACCTCACTATCTCAGGCTCCTTAACTTCATCACATCCACGAAGTCCCTGTTCCCATATATGGTAATAGTCACAGGCACCAGGAATGAAGATGTGGACATCTTTAGTGGTCTTCATCTGGCATGCCACAGTCCTGGTTTGAGAAGTTCTTTCTTGTATCTCACTAAAACTTGTGCTTCAGTAACTTCACTCCCACTCCGCATGAGTAACCTGATAGACCTCTGAAATCTTCTGTACACTTCTCCACCCTCTTTTCTTATTCAGGCTGGGCCCCATGTTTCTTCATTCTCTGGGGTCCTATCACTTGTTAGTCCAGGTAATGGCCCCTCAGGGAGTGTTCAGCAGAGCACTTGCTTTCTAAGAGCTGGACACTTGTCTGCCATCAGTGTGTCCTAATAGTGTCCTCACTTTCCTACTCAACAACCACATTACACTCTTTAGTTGTTTTTATTTTTATTACTGAGATGTTGTTACTGTTCTGAATGAACTAGCCAAGCTATGTTTTTGCTGTATGACGTTTAAGGCCTGATTTCTTGTATCTGATGTGGGACTTCACACTGGTTCCTGTTAAAATCACAGGTTGGTGTTGTCAGTGGAGGGCCACTGAGAAGATACTTCAAAATCAAGTCCTAAGGGCCAGCCATATAGCTCAGCAGATTAAAGTGCCTGCTTAGGCAGACCCAGGGGCCATTGGTTTGATGCCCCTGCCCCCGCGCTGTGCCAGTCCCACCTGCCCCTAGGGCGTGCTGAGACGGCTATTGAGACTGGGCAAGGTGGCACACACCTGTAATCCCAACTCTTTGGGAGGCTGAATACAGGTGGAGTAGTATGAGTCTGATCTACATAGTGAGGCCCGGTAGACCCTTACTAAAAAATACACACAAAATCAAGTCCTAAAAGGGCCATTCTGCCCAACACCGTAACTGCGAAGATAGTAAGCAAAAATACTGGAGCCAGGACTGGCATTTTGTCTACAGTCTCTACAATTCTCTCTGTGAGATTGGTCTTGCTGGTGGGAAAGGCTGATTTGAAAGGAACTTAGGGTTCCTCTGTGCAGATGAAGCATGTTGTGAGGTGTGTGTGAGGCAGAACAGGTAAACAATGCATCATCCTGGGAGAAGCCACCCATACTTCCATGGAAGAAGTGCATGCAGAGGGCAGGCCATGCATGGGTACCCAGGGAGGCTTCCTAGCAGACCTCACCAGGAGACGAGGAGGAAGAGAAGGATGCCAATGGGTGCAGAGGGCTGAAATGCTCAGCATTGGAACTGCCTGGAAAATGGAGGCCATGTGAATGTCACAGGAGAGGAGAGGTGAAAAAGTACGACTTGAGGTGCCAGATACTGCAGCAGGGGTTGACTCTCTCAACGTAACAATGAATTGGTGTTAGCTAGATGGTTCTGTGAGAGCAGAAAAAATGTGGTGTCAAGAGCAGGCAGGCCTGAGCCTAAATCCCCTACATGCTGGTGTGCGGTTTTGGACACGGAGTTGTGTGACATCAGAGACAGCATAGAAAGAAAACCCACCTGGCTCAAAAGGAGGTCTCACCTCTTACTGGTTCCCAGCTGAGTCAGTGCCATACACTCAGAGAGCCACAGATGGGCCAGTCTTAGCCTGAAGATCACCAGCATGGTGTCCATTCACTTGAGCAGCTGTAGTCAAAGCTGACGAAGACTGGCTGGGTTAGTAATGGACCTTCAGCAGTGCTCTTCTTTTAAAGAACTATGAGCGAATATCCCAGAGCCACGCCTTCTTCCTGGAAGGGAGCCAGAAATGGCCCTCTGAAATGTCTTCATCCCAGGAGGCCACCTGTATCCACATTTTCTGGGAGCACAGTTGCCATTGCAAATTCTATCTCCACAGTTTATTAGCCTGAGACTTTGGCTATCTTCCATTACTGGTTTTCCCATCTCCAAATCCAAGCCAACACCACTTATTGCTGTGTTGCTTGAGAGCTGCAGGTCAAGACAGGTGAAGGCTGATGGAGGGCACAGTGCTAGTGCAGGGTGGTCAGTAGCTGAGACATTAGTATTGCTCCACAGGGACCACTCAGCCCTGTAGCAGCAGGAATGTTCTGAGGCCCAGTGAACATGCTGTCTTTGTTCAGCCTCCAGGACTCATGGTTCTTTTGAGTTAATCTTGCTTTGCTGAATTCTGCCGAACCCTGTGTCCAAAAGCTCTGGATGGTCTTTCTCTGTTGCTTTCCTCTATCTATTTAACACTGTGGTATCCAGAGACTCTTACAGGTGATGGGGTAGAGAAGGCAGAGGACTGAGGTTCAGCTCCATAACTTCCTGGGACTTCTGGGACAGAATGTCTCTGCCCATTGGAAAAACTGTACACGTCCACTAAAAAAAACCAAAGATCTGGGGAAGTTGATGGTAGTGCTAGTGCTGCTGTCTTTTGGTGAGCAGATTAATGTGGACCACCTCTCTGGCAAATCAGTCAAAGGCCTCTCCTACCCTCACTGTTTCACTTGCATGCCCTCCAACACCATGCACGTAAGAGAGCAGCCTTCCCAGAGAGCTAGAGGATCACTGCTAGGTCTAGAACATTCTGAAGACTAGAAAAAAATTGCTTAAATTACCCATAATTGCATTACTTATACTTTAAGAAGTTAGTTTCTTTCCTTCCAAACTTTTTAAAAATTAACATGAGAGTGTATGTGTGTGTGTGTCTGTGTACACTTTTGCATCTTGCTTTTTTCCTGTAATAGTACATCCAGCAAAGTGCCTGTAGTTGAATTGCTTTAGTGAACCTCTGATGAGGCACTCTGGCTCTTTTTCCATGTACCCCCCCCCCCATAAGCAGGCCTCTCCTACCCCTTCCTTTAACAAGCCACAACCAGTGGAAATGTAAAGCTATCCAAATCTTCCTGCAGAAAGTGGTTTCTAGAATGAGGTCATTGTTGTGTTTGTTAGTTTAAGAAGAACTCAGAACAGCCTGGCTCCAGGCAGGACTTGATGGCACACATTCCTGCAGCAGCCAGCAGCACCTATGCTTCTGTCTCTCAAACCCTGGCTTCTGCTAGAGACAGCTGTGAGCAGTGGGAGAGGAATTATAGCCCAAGTTCCTGGCACCCAGGCTCAGCGTGGGGCTCCCACTTCCGGTCTGTGTGCATCAGTTTCTAGGTTGCTCCTGGATTGATGTCCCAGTTGAGGTTTTCAAGGGACAGAAGCCCATTTCCCAACCACCACTCTGCTGCTGAAGATGCTGACTCAGCCCAGGGGCCACTGCCCTCACGCTCCCTCAGCCCTGCTGGCTCCTGCTGTGTAAGGGGAACGTCTGGTTGTGGTGTCTTCAGACTAAGGCTGCAAGGCACACTTGAGGCAGCTGAGGCAGAGGACATCTCAGAGCCACAGCTTCCGTTTTTCTTTTTTTTTTTTTTTCTCCTTGAGAAGCTTGGTCCTATCCCTTACCAATATCTAGACCTGGGGAAAATGCAAGAGATCACAGCTTTTCTACCTTAAAAAATGAGTGAGAGAGTAAATCGGGCTCAGGTCTGGAAGCAGTTGAACAGTTCTGTTGCTACTTTTGTGACAGACACATGGTGGTTGTGAAAGTGTGTGTGTTCATGGCTCAAGGGTCTCCTGCTGATTTCTGGAAGCAGCCTGATGTAGACCTTGGCTCTCTCCACAACTGTTTATATGTGGGTAAGTGGCTGGGGGATTTCTTAGGGCCATCGTGAAGGCTTTTGTTCTCTCCTGCCATGTAAAGTCTTGACCCTGTAGAGAGAAGCAGGACACAGTCTGCTCTGTTATTTTTAGTGTCATGAAAATTTCTTTTCAAATGTTGTCGTTCTCTGTTGGTTTCTGTGCCCACACAGTGCCTCTCCCAGGATTTGAGTCACTCTCTTGTGGTAGTGAACTATTGAGATCAGTCTTAGCCTGGGGGCTCACAGCACATATGAAATGGCTACTGGAGCACATTGAAACATTTGCTAATTTTCAGCCTACACTTGAGTTTCACTTAATATAAGGAATTTTAAGTCAAATAAGCTAGAGAATTTTGATCTAACCCTTTTGGTCTCAAGTATGGAATCACAAAAATATATCCTTGTATCTCGTGATAGACATAGATGGATAGACTGTCTCTATTATGTGGGTGACATCTAGATTCAAAGGATTCCCATAGTTGCCTCCCAAGCATAAGAAAATAGTGTGGCACTAATGACCTCCTTCCTGGTTAGCAGAGGCCACATCCCAGCGCAGATTCTGGCTGAAGCTTGGCATTTAAGGTACTCTTGAGACTAAGGCCTCCTTCTGGATTCTCACCAAATGAAAAACCTTCCATGGAAA